AAAAAAAAATTGTTAATAGTCTGAGGGTGTATCTTGACTTTTACCCAAGGTCATTTCAGCTAGTTCAAGGTCACTAGCAGTTAAAAATATAAAATTCGTGTCTGTTCTATAACTGTCTTTTTCTGTATTGCTGCTTGAAATTTGTTTAGCGGTTCTAGAGAAGAAGTTGAAAATGTTCAAAAGTTAATGCACGACGGACGACGCACGACGACAGACAAAAACGGATAGCAATAGGTCACCTGAGTGACTCAGGTAATCTAAAAAGTTGTTAAGCCTTGTAATTAACCATAAATTTAGGGGGTATAAGCAACAAGAGGCCCATGGGCCACATCGTTCACCTGAGCACTGTGGCTGGAGAAAAAAGCAAAAATCAGTTCAGAATTGAAAAGCTTTAATGCATAAGTGGTCCTGACCTACCCTCTAAAAGGGAATGGGGGGGGGGGGGTATGATTTGAACAAAATTGAATCTACACTAACTAAAGATGCTTACATATTTCTTTGTCTGTGACTTTTTTCCTACAAGTTTGAACTTTCGTTATGGTCCCACCCTACCCCCGGGGGTCATGGTTTGAACAAATCTGAATCTACACTATCTATTATGACCAATCATAGCTTTGTTGTTCTTGAGAAGATTTTTAAAAAAAATTTCCTATGTATTCATATACATAACTTTAATTGCCAATTGTAGTCCCACCCTATCCCCAGGGGGTCATCATTTTTTTCAAACATGAATCTACACTAACTTAGGATACTTCCGTATAGTTAATAACCAATCATGGCTTTGCTGTTCTTGAGAAGATTTTTTTTCTATATATTCCTATGTAAAACTTTTATCGTCCATTGTGGCCCCACCCTACCCTAGGGGGGTGGGTTATGATTTGAACATACTTAAATCTACACCACCTGAGGATGCTTTCATATAAATATGACCACTCATGGCTTTGCTGTTCTTGAGAAGAAGATTTCTAAATTTTTTTCCTATACCCCTATGTAAAACTTTCATCGTCCATTGTGGCCCCACCCTATACCAGGGGATCAAGATTTGAACAAACTTGAATCTACACCACCTGAGGATACTTCCATATAAATATGACCAATCATGGCTTTGCTGTTCTTGAGAAGAAGATTTTTAAAGATTTTTCCTATAAATTCTTATGTAAAACTTTTATCGTCCATTATGGCCCTGCCCTAAACCCGGAGGTCATGATTTGAAAAAAATAGAATTTACACTACCTGAGGATGAATCCACACGAGTTTCATCTTTCCTGGCCCAGTGGTTCTTGAGAAGATTTTTAAAAGATGCCATTAATTTTCACTAATTTGTAATTATCTCCCCTTGGAAGAGGGCGTGGATCTTCATTTTAACAAACTTTAATTCCCTTTACCAAAGGATACTTTGTGCCAAGTTTGGTTGAAATTGGCTCACTTGAGCCTTCGGCTCAGGTGAGCTAAAGATTCAAATATTGTTTCATTTCTTACCATGTCAATCAGTCTCCCTAACAAAAAATATTATGCTTCTTGTCAGTTTGTCTCTATATATAATCAATACCCATCTATTTTCGCATAGTGTTCTAAGAGTTTATAAGGTGTAAGCATTCTATGCCGTAATAGTGCACGGCTTCTTTTTCTAAAGAAAATCCGACATCACCCACACCAGGGATCGAACTCACGATCACGAGATTGTCAGTCCGACGTGCTGCTACCGACATGACGCCATTATCAAACACTTATTTTAATGTATATAAACCTAGTTTCAAGTATTTGACACTTAAAAGAAAACAAAACATTTTTTTCAAAAATAGTTTCTTACAATTTTTTATCCCTTTTTTTAAATTAAGGTTCTTTGAAATTTTGTGTACATTATACCTAACTGCATGAAACACTCAAAATTATGACGTAATTGTTTCACATCGTGACGTTATAATAGGGGTATAACAGCATGTTAGTAAGAGGTGATGAAACGTTGGAAATCGAAAAAAATATTTTTGCTTTTATACAACAGTCAGCATAATAATAACAAAAGTGTTGTGGTTTGCATGCACCTCCGGCTTGTGCACCATGTATCAAACCCTGACTACTTTTTAGGCATAGTGCATGCAAAGCACATTACTATTACATAAATCAAACGCTTGAATCCATACTTTTCAAAACTTATTTCCCTTGGTCGCCATCTTTGAGGAAGAACCAGTAGAACCCTCACAGTAGGCTTTGTAGTTTTCTGGTTTGTTTTTTTTGTCATTTGACTAGAAAAATTTTTTGCTTCTATACTGATTGTCACAGGATAAGGCTACCCATACATTGAAGGAAAAGAATTTAAACGCAATTGATGCATCGGAGCACGCCCATATATTTGGTAGGAAAAAGTCGTTTTTTCCCTTTTGACCTTTTGGTTGACCCCGCAAAAGGACACACCTTTTGCAAAGTATGGATTAGATTATTCACCAAAGTAATGTGGAACAGCCTATTAATGTCCCCAATTCAACATTCCAAAATTATACATGTTGATACAAATTAATAAGGAGAATATTAGTGGTCCTGATATGATATCTACACTTTTAACCTAAAGTGACATTGAACATTGCCAGAATGACCTTGGATCAAGGCAACAACATACCTAAAGGCCATGTGTAATATTTTTGTGAAAATGAACGTTCAATGTTTTTTTTCAATTAAAGAGCTGTGAACAAGAAATGAACTTGACACTTTTCCTGGAAACGGCCTTGACCTTGCCAAAATGATCTTGAATAAATATGAAGGCACACCCCTGAGTCATTAGCAATATTTGTGTCAGGTATGGGCTTCCAGTGTTTAATCATTTTAAGATGTAGACAGTGCACAATGTATATATTTTTTAAATAGATCATGAACCTGATCAAATAACCTTTCATCAAAATCATGACATACTTTAAGGTCATAATCAATTTTTCTATGAAGTATGGACATCCAATACTTTCCATTAGAAAATTACCATAGACCTGGCACAAATTTAACATTTTTTCTGCCAGTGATTTTCACTTGCTATTATCATTGGTCAAGACCATGACACACTCTTTGTTCACATGCAATCTATGCCAAAAATGAACTTCGAAATGGCTCTCCATTACAAAGTTATGTGGCCTGGACACATATTTTAAACCTTTTGTTGAAGTGACCTCGATCTTACTGGAATGACCTTGGGTTAAGATTTGAACATACCAATGGGACATAAATCTTTTTGTGAAGCAATAATTCAAAATGTGGCCAGGACATAAATTATACATTTATCTGTAAAGGACCTTGAAGATCATGATACACCTCTTAAACAATCTCTGTATGAAGTATGAATATCCGATGTGCCTACATAAGAAAGTTACAGACCAGACAATTTTTACACTATTTACTGCCAACGACCTTGCACTAGCTGAAATGACCTTGGGTGAAACGTTAAAGTCAAAATTCAAGCTCAGATTATAAACAATCGTTTTTTCAAGAATGAACTTTCAATCTTTCTCCATTACGAAATTATGACCCCATCATGATTGCACAGACAAATGAACACAGAAACAGACAGACAAAGTGATTCCTTTATACTCCAGTCTTTGTTTGCTGGGTTATAACTATGGCACAAATGATGTGTTATCATGGCAGCCGATATTTTCATTGTTAGAATAATATTGGTAAAACTTCTTTTCATAAGGTAAACTATTTTTATTGTTTCTTTATCACTGCCGATAAAGTTAAGTCATGTAACTCCCATAATAAGATAATACTGGGCGTTTTTCTGTATATAAAATGTATGCCAAGTGTAACCATGGTTACCACCTATATAAAGATCTATTCTAAATACTTTCTTTACATAATAAGTGGAAATAAGGTTTATTGTTTTTATTTTTATATGTAAATGGCCAATTTGGTTTTTTGAGTGCTTGTGAAGGGTCAATAAAGATTCAAAATAGCCGAAAATCTAAATTTTGTTGAAATCAACCTGTCTGTTACCATGACAACCAAGGCACATAGCAACCAGACTTTGTTTGATTTAAAATTCTGTTGTCAAACTATTATAATTGTAACTATTATAACGAGCAAAGTTTCATGAAACAAAATCGGTTACCTTGCATGCCAAAAAAAGTTCAAGTTGTTACAGAAAATTGTTAGTAACTCTCCATAACATATTTTGGTTCTTATGTGCTCAAATGTTGTTACCATGGGTTAAAAGTATAAAAATGGGCTAAATTATAAAAATGTACTTTGCTAAGACATCTATTACAAAATCAAATTTGATTAATCAAAATATGCTACCAAACTGTGGATTAATATTTTATAATTGTTCATAAATATTTGCCGAAAGTGACTTTATTTGCTTTGTTGCTATGGAGAATTTGTGGTTGCCACGGAGATAAGTATCTTTACAATATTTTTTGGCTTGCAAAGGTGTCTCAGATATATTTCCTTACTTTAAACTGTGTTTTTATACTCTCAGATAACAAATTATTAGATTAATAATGTTTACATTGTACGATTTTCCATTTTTATTTATCAAAACATCCATTTTTGTTGCTAGGCAACGGATTGGAATTTTCAAAAAACACGCCTTTTTGAATTTAAAGTCCAAAAGAGACATTCCTCTGCTTTTATTCGAAATGCTTGCAACTCCTGTATTACGCCAGAAGTTTGAGTAATAAGGCTTTGAAAAGTACCAAAATCAACAAAAATGCTGAATCAGCAAAAAACACAAAACATGCATATCTACCCATGTCTAGTACAGATATATCTCAAAATCTTATTTCTATGTAATGCATTGTGAAAACACTTTAAATGTTTATCTTTACGATAAGAATAAATAAGAAGAAATTATTAAATATTCACAATAAATTTCAAGCCCTAAAGATTAGTGATTTTTTTGTCCATACACATGGAAAATTGACTGGTTGCTAAGGAAATTTCTTTTGTCATGGTTCCATAGTAACCATGACCCAAAACTTTTTTCACTTTGCATACATTGATAGTAGCAGAAGAGAAATCTATGTGTTGAAAATCATCAAATTCTGAGAACCCTCATGATTCACTTTCAAACCTACTTTGCCTGATTCTTTCAGAGACTTGCACTTAAGAATAAAATATAATTTCATTGATATTTCAAAGAATTATTGTTGTAACTATGACGTCAAAACGTGCGTTGTCAAAATTTTGCAAAAATTTGACAACGCACTTTTTTGACGTCATAGTTACATCGCTAATCACATTACGTCACACACTCGAGATTCCTTGAACGGTCCGCCCACTGAGCATTTTAATTGGTTAAAACTAATAGTAAATATTCATGAGGGAGTAGTCCCAGGTAGTAGCTCTGATTTTACAGGAAGTAGTCCTCATATAGACAGTTTAAAGGTATTTATATAGAATAATATAGTCCTCATATAGACAGTTTAAAGGTATTTATATAGAATAATAACAGTAGGTTGTTTGTTTGTTGTTTAACGTCCCTCTCTAGAATTTTTCACTCATATGGAGACGCCACCACTTGCTGGTGGAGAGCTACAAATTTTGATCTCTACTCGGCACTTTGGGCCATTGAGCAGTGAGGGATCTTTTTCGTGCCAGCACCTACTGCGACACAGGACACCGGTTTATACGGTCTCATCCGAAGGACCGCGTTCCACAGTGGGATTCGAACGGATCGGCTCCTTACTCCGCGTTTCTAGAGCAAACGCTTTAACCTCTGTGCCACGCGGGCGACTAATAACAGTAGATGAATAATAATATATCGAGGTTGAACACGTGTTTGAATTTCAGATACAAAAGTTTCGAGTGTTGAATATATTTGAAATTGATCCAAAAATAACGTCACAACTGCTATTATCTTTAATAAGCGAAAATTGTTGTATTAATGCCTCTTTTCATTTTGACTTTTCCCCTAAAATTTCATTCAGATATATCCAATACTTTATAAAATATTAAAATAAACACAACGTCGGGTCCCTTCTATCGCTGCACGGGAAAAATGTACCGATGTTGTTATTACGTTTCTCTTCGACATTCATTTTGAATTTGATAATACATAAGATTTTTGCAAAAAGGAAATTCAATGAAGTTAGAAATAATATTTGGACAAAGTTCAAACAAATTTAATACTACAACGCAAAACAAGGCGGTTTATAGCAAAATAGCAATAAAGATTATTGAAAGAAGAGAGGTTAAAAAGATGAACTGAAAATGAATGCCAAAAGTAATAAGTTATAACGTCAGTAACATTCTTGCCCTGATGCGATAGACAAAACCTAACGTTGTATTTATCTTTATATTTTTAAAAGTGTTTTATATATATAGGTGACTCTCGAAGATCAAGGGACCGTAAAAAATGTTCGAGATATCAAGGGGTTTGAGAGATAGGAAGTGAATAAAATCCGGAATTTGCAGTTCTGATCATCATTGTTCTACTTTCATAGATACCGGAAGTGTATGTTGATAATGTCATTGCACCTTTGCATTCGTATTTTACGGGTAATTCACTAGATTTCAACAACATTGATCGTGTTTTGAATAAATGAAATGATTTCTTTAAGTTTCAATATTTATTTGTTCTCATTTCTTGACTACATGTAACCTGAATAGCAATTGTCGATGTGGCTTTTCCCCGGGCTTGATCGGGTCCTTCACCAGATTGCTCGTAATTAATCGGTATTCAGTTCTTAATTAAAATAGGATTTCTTATGTATTGCATTGTTTGTCATACTTGGATTGTGTAGACTCTAATAAAAGTTTATAATCTATAGAGAATTATTAAATTAACTTATTTTATCAACTCGCATATTTTTTCTGAGGATTTGAGATTAAACTTGTGTAAAAACTTAAGTTTTTTTCCGAGAAATCCAAGCCGGAAGTTCGAGAGATCACGAGTAAATTTGCTTGGTTATATAGAGCAAAAAAAAAAATAATAATAATAAAAATTAAAAAAAACAAATTAAAATAAAATAATAATAATAATAAAAAAAACAAACCCGGGACCAGGGGTTTAATTCAAAAAATCGGAGTTCGAGCCATCGAAAGTCACCTGTTATTAAATGATTTTTTAGGCAAAAATTAGGATAGATAGGGGTGTTAGTATGTCAAATTTTGTTGGTAACATTTGATTGTTCAAAATTTTGCGGCAGCTGTAACATTACAACATAACTTGGATCAACCCTCGTACATTGTACTTCAATTATAGTGTGCCATGCTTCGTTTACGAGTAACCTCTATAGCTTACTCGAAATTTCAAGACTGTTATTAAAGTATCATCTCCTGTTGTAATATTAAAAAAGTACACGACGATAAATAACTAACTGCATAATTTTGGAGACTGTTTGAATTACTTTTCGCCAGAAATACCAGGTACTGCATAGTGATAGTGACCATTGATAGTGACAATTGGGGATTTATTTAGCACTGACAATTAAATACATTTACTCTATGATTTATAACTGAGTACTAGAATATCTATTTTGTTTTTCCGTGATGATCCTTTTTTCTTTTGCTAATAGCTATAGGTGATATAACTTCATCTATCAGAGCCCAACCTTTACACCAGAACCCCATAACCAAGGGCTATGTATTTCACAATTTTAGAAAAGGCAGCCTTGCTCATCGTAACTATGCACTTAGTTTATCTGCTAAATACTTAGCAGCAGAAAAGATTTTCAAATAATTTATTTTCACTAAATAAACAGATCCCTGCCCTAACACCAGAGCCACTGACCAAGGGGCCATGAAATTAACAATTTCATTCCATGCAATCTTGCTCATCAAAACCATGCAATCAGTATGCCACTATGTTTGCTTAATACCTAAGGGCAGAGAGGAAGTTTTGCAAAGAAATAATACATTTTCACTATAAATCAATAGAGCCCCGTCCTAACACCAGAAGCTCGTACCCAACAGCCATGAATTTCACAACTTAAAACTATGGATGGGTATCGCCAAAAATTTCGTATCGCGATATTTTTTCCAAAATATCGCGATAATATTGTGATATTTTGGAGCACAATGTTTGTTTGATTTATAAGCAATTACTCCTTTTTTTCATTTTTGTTGTAAATAAATGAAAAAACCATTCATTTCATAATGTATTTAATGTGTTTATATTGAAAAAAAAAATTAAAATCAAACTGCAGAAAACAAATAACAAGAAAATAAAATATTACTTATAATAAACTGTTCAAACTCAAATGGTTACAAACTTTCCTGTTTTGTTTGTAAATAAAGAAAAAATGATTGGCTGATTTAACTCAAAACACAGAAGTCAATTAGATTTGATTTTTAAGATTAGGGCAGGTTTTTTTTTTTTTTTAAAGAAAATTAAATTGGCAACATGCTTCGGCTTTAGACGTGCCCTCTGTGCGCTAAGTATTTCTCCAGCAGTAGAAAAAACTCTTTCGGAAGGGACACTTGTTGCAGGTATACATAAGTAAGCTCTAGCAAGTTTAGAAACAAGTGGGAATTTAAATTCATTTTCTTTCCACCAAGAAAGAGGATTTTCCTGAAGAGGTATTGCTTGTGCACTTCTGTATTCATTCACCTGCTGCTCAGCAATCACATTTGGTGATTTTGGAGGCTCAATTTCGGTAATGTACACATCATCTAAAAAACTGTGGAGTACAGATTCCATACAATCACCACAACTAGTAGAGGAAACATCTGCTTTGACTCTCATTTTGACAGAACTAACAGCCGGAGAATCTGAAAGTGAAGATAGTGAGGGCAGAGGTGGCTCACTCGGGACTTCAACATCATCTAATTCAGCATCTTTGTTTTCTTTCTCTCTTTTCACTTTGATAATATTCTGTACTCTAAAGACTTCTAAAACAATATCAGAGTACACTGCTGATCTCTCATTTCCTGATGAAAATGGAAGCATTTTGAATCGCGGATCCAGTGCAGAAACAATGTGTAGAGTGTGTTCAATGCGAGCAAATCTTTCCTTTAAGTCTTTAAACATAATATTTTTCATACTGCGGACAGTGGGAGTATCAGCATTTTGTTCACAAAGCTTGTCCAGAAGTTTATTGTGAAGTGGCAAGATAATGGAAATAGTGGGGGATTTTTCTGAACACAAGAGTGTTGTTTTGTCCTTAAATGGCTTTAACAGCTGGATCACCTCCTCTGCCACAGAAAAGTCATCATCATGGAAAGACTTCAATTCAGATTCTCTTTCTTTTCCTAACTCCTTTGATTTCAAGGTAGCAAATATTGCTACCTGCATTTCAAGAAATCGTGAGATCATATCATAGGCACTGTTCCATCTCCTGCGGACATCCATTATTAATTCGTGTTGAGGTAGTGACAAAGATTCAGCTGTATTCTTTAGCAAAGCTGCTGCAATGTTGCTTGTATGAAAAAAGGCAACAATTTTTTCTGATTTTGGCAAGAATATTTTCCAGTCTTTTAACCGCAAGGCATTTTTGACAAGGTAAAATAATGTATGAGCATAACAATTAACATGAATGTTTCCAAGTAGTTCACCTGCTTTCATCATATTAGCAGCATTATCAGACACCACTGGTGGAAATCCATAAGAAGTGGGCAGATTCCATTCCTTCACAGCATTTCTCAGAACCTCTGCAACATTTTCTCCTACAATCAGGACAAATATTTTTAAAATCATTTTTTCAAATAATAAAACCAATTATTATATACATGTATACTAATTAATATTTAAAATTTATAGCAATTTTCTTGGAATATGTAATTGATCAAGCAAATAAATATAATCAAATCAAAATTTTAACATTTACAATGATGTTACCTGTATGGGATTCTGGCATCATCCTGGGTTGTAAAACAAAATTACAAAAATTCCAATCTTTGTCAATATGGGTGGAAGTAATCGTAATGTAGGACTCTGTTGCTCGTGAACTCCAGCCATCAGTGGTCAATGCTACCTAATAAGGAGTGAAATATTAATTACTTCACTTAAAATATTTATTTAAGATTTTTCTTAAACTTTTAAACATACTGGTCTATAAATCTGAAAATATTTTTCTTCACTGCAAATTACGCAGTAAATACTTACTTGCTCTGCTTCGTGAAGACTACTTTGAACTTTAACTTTCACATCTGAATACATTTTTGGAATGACAATTTCACTAAAAGTCTTTCTGGAAGGAACCTGCTAACGATTATCTAAACAAACTATCATATCTCTGAATTCAGGGGAATCAACCATACTGAATGGTCGAAGATCTTTGACAATAAATCTAGCAATTTTATCCGTGATTTTCTTTGCACGTTCCGTGTTTGAAGCATACTTTTTACCAAGCAAAGAAACCAAGTTTCTAGATACAGGTGTGTTTACCATGGGCTTTTTAACCTATAATTTTTCTGAAGTAGACTTCGTAGGATTAGGATCTTCAGCGAGCAAATTCGGATGATGTCTCCTCATGTGACTGTTCAGGTTGATAGTTCCACCGGGGCATTTCACTTCAATTTTACATTTCGAACATACGGCTATGTTTTCAATAACTTTTCCTGTTTTCTTGTCTTTTTTTACGAGGAAGTATTTCCATACCTCAGATTTACCTCGGGTGAATTTTATTAAATCGACGTTCTTCAGAAGTCGCCATTTAAACTTCTGGTAATTGTAATTTAAAGTTTGGTCGATTAAATGATTTATTTCCGGAAATTTTAAACATGTGGAAAATATCGGTATTTTGGTTCCCGTATCGCGCGACAAAAAATCGCAATATACCGGTATACCGATAAAATCGCACATCCCTACTTAAATCAGCATCTTTGCTCATTATAACTTCGAATTTTATTTATTTGCTAAATAGACAGGAACAGAGAAGTTTTTTTTCCCAAATACTTTACTATTTAATTGATAGAGTCCCATCCTAACAACCGAACCCCTGACCCAGGGGCCAAAAAATTCACAATTTTGAAAGAGGTATCCTCGCTCATCATAACTCTGCACTTACTTTGTTAGCTTAATACCCAGAAGCAGAATAGATTTGCAAAGAATTAATGCATATTTCTCTATTTGATCAATAGAGCCTCGCCCTGACACCAAAACCGCTGACTCCAGGGGCCATGAATTTCACAATTTTGGAAGAGGCACCCCTAGTCCTCATAACCTTGCACTTAGGTTATGTGCGAATTATACAGCTGTAGAGGAGATTTTCAAAGAATCAATGCATTTTCATTATATGATCAATAGAGTCAAACTCTAACTCGAGAATCTCTGACCCTGAGGCCATGAGTTTCACAATTTTGGTCAAGGAATCATTTCTTTTAATAAATTATTCCCCCAGTTTGACTGCTTAATGTCTAGAAGTATAATGATTGATTGATTGTATCGAGAATATTTCACTCATATAGAGACGTCACCTTATACCGGTGAAGGGCTTCAAATTTAAATCTTTACTCGGCACTCAGGGCCATTGAGCTGTGAGGGATCTTTATTGTGGCAACGCCTGCCGTGACACAGGGCCTCGATTTTTAAGGTCTCATCCGGAGGACCCGCAACTTTTACTTCAAAGTGCCGAGCGCATGTCCAAGGAACAGTTGCTACCCATTTTTTATCGACTTGGGTCAGTCCCGGCCGATATTCGAACTCCCGACCTCTCCTGAGCTACCGTGAACGGTCCCTTGGACTGCAATTATTTGCAGTTTCCGATCATTTTCTTCGCAGAGGATGCACATACTGAAATGAAATTAAATCTACAGATTTATCAAAAGAATATCTAGGTCAACTTCTGTTTTGGATACGATCGAGCAATATTTGACTGAGCTATGATCCTTGGACTTGGAAATATTTCAATTATTGGGGGGGGGGGCATTAGTGTTTCACAAACATCTCTAGTTGAAAATTGCAGTAATTATGATGGTTAGGCCAAACCCCTTAGGCCCCCGGGAGGGGGACAGAGACAATGAAATTCACAAATTTTGTATCCCTTTGCCCCAGATGCTCCACACCAAAACCAGTTGAAATTGTTTTAGCGGCTAATGAGAAGAAGCTGAATAATTTCAAAAGATTACGACCGACGGACGAAAACGATAGTAGTATGTCACCTGAGTGACCTAGGTGACCTAATAAAATTTGGAGAGGAGTTTGGCCAAGTCATTTTCTTTCATTTAGTAACTCTCTTTTCCATTTAACCGGGGTCTGTGTTTCCTAGGTGGATCCAAGGTCATCGGGCACTCCCTCTCTTTGAAATTCTCCCACTTCTCACACACGCACTTGCACGGGAGAAAAGAAGATTTATTAAACATAAATTGGATTTTCAAAATAGACCATATCAGATTCACCCTGCGGCATGAAACTGCCGGGGGTGAATTTCACAAATTTGGTAACGGGTTCATTGCTCATTATTATCATAACCAGGAGTAAAGAATACGATTTTCTAACAACCCAGAGGTCATAAATTTCACGTTTTTAGTACAGGGCTAATGCATGGCTTATGAAGATGCATGTAATCATGCAAACAGTTTGAATACTTGATGTCAAGGAGTGAAGAACTTCAAGATGATTTTTGAAAATGTCATTAATTTTGATGGTTAAAGCCACATCTCTGACAAGGGCTATGAAATTCAAAGGCTTCCTCTTTACCAATAAACGGTATTTGTTTAAACAAACATAATTTAAATCAGCTTGACTGTTGCAGGGAAAAAGATCAAAAGTCGTAGGTTGCACAAAAATGGATCATAGCAATTACAGGTTACATCGGTGATTCGTTTAATCTGAACAAGTATTTGTTTATTATTGTTAGTGGGGTTTTAGTACTGTTTTGTTTGCTTTTGATAGGTATTTTATTTTTGTTTAGGCAAATAGGTCACCTTAAATAAGGATGTGGCTGGAACTTTTAAATACCATGAACAGTCAGAATGTTTTATCTGCATCGCTAAACTTTAGAGAACACTGGTCACAGAAATGGAACTAAGACTTATAATAAAATGTACTCATATGAGTACTTCCTGTATACAGCATCTGGAATATGATTAATTTTCCTGTAACATGTGTAAGTAGAATTTTTTTCAGGAAAACAGAATCAAGATGTATCTGGAAAAAAAACTCTTGCAATCTTTGTCCATAGATGCGTTCTCTAAAATTAAACGTTACTGACGAAAGCGTTTTCAGAGAATATAACCCTTGAATGCTTAGGCAAGAACCTTAGAAGAGGCACCCTTGAACATCATAACCACGCACTCAATATGTTTAATAAATACCCTGGGGCAAACATGATTTTAAAGAAATTATTAATGCATTTTCAATGTATAATCAATGGAGTTCCACCCTGAAACCTCAACCCCTGACCCAGGGGCCATGAAATTCACAATTTTGGAAGAGGCACCCTTGCTTATCATAACCATACACTTTGTTTGTTTGCTTAATACCCAGGGGTAGAGAAAATTTTCGAAGAATCGATACATTTTCACTATGAAATCAATAGAGCAATAAAATTTACAATTTTGGAAAAGACCCCCTTGCTTACCTTGTTTGTTTGTTTAATACCAAGGAGCAAAGGAGATATAAAAAAAAAATAATGCATGTTCTATATATAAAAAAATAAAATCAATATTGTCCCACCTTAACACATGAACCCCTTACCCAGGGCCATGAAATTCACAATTTTGGAAGAGAAATCCTTGTTCATCATAGCCATGTACTAAATTTGTTTGCTTACTATACAGTGGGAGAAATGTATACATTTTTATTATGTAATCTACATGTATAGAGCCCAACCCTAACCCTTAACCCCTGGGCCATGAAATTAACGTTATGGTAAAAGACTCATTGCTTTTTATAATCCCGTCAACAATTTGAGGAGTAAAGAACAAGATCTTTGAAATTGCAATTATTTTGATGGGTTTGGTACCATTCCTCAGGCGACTAGGGGGCGGGGACCATTTTGTCTCGCTTTGCCCAAAACTGGTTCAACAGTTTATGAGATGAAGCTTAAAATGTTCAAAAATTTACAGACGATAGACAAAAACAAATAGCAAAAGGTCACCTGAGTCACTCCAAGGGCACAGAGAACAGTCTGGAATCGCTGAAAGCTAATTTTAATAAATGAAATAATAAGAATAGGAGTTAAGTGGGCATAATGGTTTGCAGCTGTCGGTCAGTCATGTGCTGTATACTCAACATCTTACCAACCAAGTTAGATTCAATTAAACATTATTTTTATGTTCTTTTGGGTGAGGGGGAGTGGGCATACTAGTTTCAGCTGTTAGTGGGTCAAAGTTTTCAACTCAATATCTTCAGAACCCTTTCCTTGACAGACATCAATTTGGTACACAGGAACCCCCTTAAATGCAGGTGACACTATAGATTTTGAGGACACAAGGTCAAGATTCAAACTACTTTC